TTTGGGAATGTCATTTGTCTTGATCTTTACCTGATGGTAACCTGAATGCAGGTCTATTTTGGAGAAGACCTGGACACCCTACAACTGATTCACAAGGTCATCGATCCTGGGGAGGGGGTACTTGTTCTTAATCGTGACCCTGTTCAGTCTCCTGTAGTCAATACATAACCTAAATGTCCTATCTCACTTCCTTGTAAATGTGACTCTAGCACCCCAAAGGGACACACTATATCGGATGAACTCACTATCCAGCAGTTTGTTGATCTATTTCTTCAGCTCTTCCATCTCAACATGGCTCATGCGGTAAGGGGCAACCGAGATAGACTAGGTATCTGACTAAAGATCTATGGTGAATTCAACTTCTCTATCCACTAGTAGTCCTAGTAGTTCATTAGGAAACACATCCAAAAAGTCTCGGACTACCAAAATCTTTAAGATGCAAATTTCTTTCTTAGGTTTGCTTAATTAGAGAAAACAACCGAGTTAAAGTACTTTGTAATCGAAAAAATTACTACGAGAGAATAATGCTTAAAATTTTTATTAACTTGTAAATGGCTCTTCATTAGGAGGGTTGAATACAAGTTTCTTGTGAAAATAATCTACGGTGGCGTGATATACCCCTAGCCAGTTCATTTCTAAAATTATATCAAAATCTCCCGTGTCAATCTCTATTAGGTCCTCACTCAATTTTTTATCTGCTATATCTATGATACAAGTTCTGTGTATAACCTCCCCTAGTAGTGTCATATTCCTAAGAATAGACACAAATAATGTAGAATCAAGTCTTTTAGGTAATACATTCAAGTTTGGTGCAAAAACATGTGAGACAAATGAATGTGAGGCACTAGTATCAATCAAAACATATGCAAAATGATTATAGATAGTATACATACCTTGTATCATGTCTGGGTTGGCTTCTGCATCTTACTGAGTGAGGTTGTAAGCTCTGCCCTAGATAAGAGGTCTGGGCCTGCTTCTGATTCCTCGGGCACTCTCTCGCGTAGTGCTGGGCACTCCCATATATACGGTAAATATTGTTGAAGTGATAGCAGGGTCAGTCCATATGATCCTTGCCACAATGCTAGCAAGTCTTACCGTGTCCTATTATCGGAATCTGAGGAGGAGCCTGAGTCACTGGCCTAGGTCTCTTGTTGTGCTGAACATGTGCAGTGGGTGCTGGTCTGCGGTGTGAAATCGGGGGCTTGAGGTTACCCACTACTGGAGGAAAAAAACAAAGGTTCTTCTCCACTAGCTGTGCCTTAGCCAGAACAGCTGAGTAAGTGCTGAGCTCGAATACATATAATTGTTGTCTAATCTCAGGACGGAGGCCCCACTCGAACTTTCTTACCTTTCTGCCCTCATCCATCATGCTCTCAGGGGAATACCGACCTAACTTTAGGAACTTTCGGACATACTCTGATATAGTCATATCACACTGGACTAAGTGTGCAAACTCTATTTTCTTTAGAAGTCGGAGATACTCTGGGAGGTACTATGCATTGAAGGCCATCAGGAACTGTTCCCAAGTGATTGGAACGGGTAGGGTGGCCTACTTGAGTTGCCACCAGCGACCTGCCTCTCCCACCAGCATATAGGTGGCAAGTATAACTCTCTGTTCAGGAACCACCCTAAGAGTCGTGAAAGTCTTCTATGTCTCAGCTAACTAGTACTCATCCTCTTCAAATGAGGATACCCTTGCAAAAGTAGATGAATTTATTCTTTTGTACATCTCAATATAGACTGGGTCCATAATAGGTAATATTGGATCCCGTGGAAGGGGGACTGGATTATGTTAGGGAGGGACCGGATGGCCTTGTGGTGGTACTGGATGATACTGTGGATGCAATGGATTGTACTGTGGTGGTGTCAGGTGATGCGATGGGGGCACCAGACCATACTGTGGTGGTATCGAATGGTATTGTAGAGGAGTTGGGTTGTACCGAGGTGGCTCAGATCCTCCTACTGCAGGGGTGGCTCAAACTGTGACAGTGGAGGAGGGTCAGGTAGCTCTCTCCTTTCCTTCCGGGCCTGCGAGGCAGCAATGAGTCTCTCTAGTATTTCAAAGAGTCGGTCAACATCCTCTCGAAACAAACTTTCCCAGGCTACTCAGTTTAGTGGGGGTCTTCCTCTCCTCATCTATCTGTACCTGCATTTCACAAGGAATGGTTGAGCGATAATTCATTTTTTGGTATTTCTTTAAGTTTTTGTGTAAGTAATGGTTCCAAAGAATGTGGCTCTGATACCAACTATAAATGCCCGAAACTTAAAAGGAAATAAAGTTATGAATTAAATGCGAAAGCAAAATAATAGAATTTAGGACTTATATTCCTTAGACAATAATTTAGAACGCACAATAGGGATACGAGAATGTCCATTTTAAAAGAACAAATAAAAATTAAAAAAATAAACAAAAGGCAAACTGAGCATTCTAGAACGATATTCACTAGCTTTTGAAGAGAGTCCCGATGGTAAACTATTCACAACCCTCTTGTTGATCGAGATCTGGATTTTAGTTCTCTTGATATAAAATAGTTAATGAAAGGGTGAACTACACTAACTTAGTAAAAATATCACACTACTCACTGATACTGAAATTGAAGGTTGGTAAAAATTATAAAAACAACCAATGGAGCTCTTAATTTAAGTAACTTCATTTATCATAAGTAAAACTATTTATTGCATATTTACTGTTGCGAGATTTTCAAAATCAACCTATAGAAATAATAACTCAAATAACATTATAATCTCATGCTCAAGCGAGTAAGAACAACAACTTTTCCTTTTTATTTGCTTATTGGTATCCTTGGGGGTCCATGGGGATGTCCCACTACGCATGAACCAATATCTAAACTTGTCAACTAACCGACTGTCCTATATCTCGTTCGGTATGAGCGTCAAAATAACATTCCTCGATATCCCATCTGGTATGAGGGTGAGTCGGGTCGTCTCCATACCCTGTCTGGTACGAGCGCAAAAAATACCATCTCTCGATACCTCGTCTGGTATGAGGTAATATTTACGGTAGGATTCTATATGTATCCGATCCATCCACCATCTCTCAGGATATCTAATAAGACAACTATTTATTAATTCACTTAACTAAGCAATTTTTCGTTTATATATTAATTTTCAATTTCACAAATTAACCATAAATCACAGAAGACAAACGATACATGCATCAAGAAAGTACAACTGAATCATTTAACCATTCTAGTATATTATCATGCATTTAAAGCTGTAAAATCAAACAATCAGTTAAACATGACAAACAATAAATAACTAACTGGTTCCGACTCCATTAGTAGCCTGTAATTATTCTTAAAATTTTCTAAATTACACAAAATACCATATTATCGATTATTAAGCTTCAATTCTATAACAGAGAATAAGGTGATGGATTCTTACCCGAATTGGTATGCGAAATATCAAACTTTCTAGTGCGCCTACTGGCGGTTCCCGGGCTTCATAAATTTTAATGCAGAGATTAAAACACGTTTCACATATCTAAAAATACTCCAAAATTTAAAATTAGTGTTAAAAATCCTTTTTCGACCAATTTCAAGTCGTTTTTAGCCGGTTTTGGCTGATTTTGGATGGTTTTAGACCCATCCCTACGAGAAAACACATTAGGGGGCTTTGGTTGGCTGAAAAAAATAAAAAAGTAAAGAACTTACTGGTGGTGAGATTTTTCGGTGCGGCGGCTCCGCCAGCTCACATTCGCGGCTGGGTAGTTTTCTTTGCTCAACCTGTAGAAAATAGAACGGTGAACACAACGGTAAAAAAATCGCACGAAATGAAAAATGGGAATGAACTCATCGGAGTGGTTGCGAGTTTTATTCGCAGTTTCGCTCACCCGCTGCTTGTTTGCTTC